AAATCTAAATTAGAAAGCAAAGAAAACAAAAGCAATTGAAGGCAATTAAAACAAGTAAAAAGCGATTAAACTAAGGTAAATGAAAGCAAGTAATAAGCGAATAAATCAAAGACAAATTGAAAGCAGGGAAAATCGAATAAGAAGCAAAGGTTGTAAGCAATGAAAGAAAAACGTTGGGGCTCAAGGGGTTTTGCAGGGGTTCATGGACTAGGCTATGTCGATTTTAAACAAGTGATAAAGGTAATCAACTACGTATGTTCTAGGACTCGAGGGACGGAAGTATGAATAGCCTACTTTCGTAGCACTAAACAACTATCTCTCGCAACCCTAATCAGTAGGTTTCCACTCTGATTCTGGAAGGGAGAAGATGCAATAGCAGGACAAGACTCATCAACATTCACAACTCAACTACAGGTAGGTTTCCACTCCTATAGAAGAATTGCTCGTTTCACCCTAGTTGAGACAATCAATGAAAGCTTTCGCAACATATCATATCAGATCGGCTTCTAAGTGGCCAGCAAAGAATCACGCAGTAAGATTAAAGGCAAACGAAGAACATCTAGAAGATTAATAATCCTAAATCTATCGATTCATAAGCAAAGACACATGAAATTTCCTTTGAACAATCCCTTTAAACCCAACTGGGTAACTACTCAAACATATTGTAAACAATCATCACAGAGTATTGAAAGTGCACGAAATTAAAGAGAATAAGGAAGAAAAACGAAGAACAGAGAAGCAGATGGAGGCGCGATGTCTTCCTCCAGCGGCGGCTCCTTCTTCTGATGCGGCGGCCTCCTCTAGGGTTCCAGCCGAAATCCCTCTCTCTCTCTCTAACTTGTCTAAGTTTCGGTTTCTATTGGTCTCCTCTCTTTAGAATGACCTAAAGAGGGTATTTATAGCTTCTGGGGTGGTTCTGGACACTTAGGGCTTCAACAATAACGAAAGGAATTGATCTGGGCTTTAATTAAGTCGTCGGGAAAGTGAACGACCAAGTTCCACGGTCGCGGTGGCTCTACCCGCGAGAAAATGGGTGTTGGCCGCGGTCCCGGCACTTGCTCTCTTCCGGAACTGCATTTTCTGTCATTCTTGCATCGGGAGTATCTGAAGATCTAACCGTTGGATTGTCTCCAAACCAAGTGCATTAGAAATCTGGTTGGATCCGCTATGTTGTCTCAAATTTTGGGGGTGATCAGACAGTGAGAAGGTCTTCATCGCTTGTCATACTTCTGACGGTCTGCATTTATCCAAAATTGCTCATTTGTTCCAAATTGCATATCTTTTGTCCAAGTTTCCTGTAAAGTCTTTTGAAACTCTAAAACATTCAAAACACTTTAAAAACATTGAAAACAGAGTTAAAACACCTGGATAAGACATTATTATGATCCATAAAAATGGTCAAAATACGGTGTTATCACAACAAAGGAGGAAGGATTATGCAACAACATTTGGCAAGAAGAAGTGACTGAAAACTGTGGTCATCAACAGGTCATTATCTCTCTTGCGGTTTTGCATATTATCTTGCATCCTCCAGATCTTCAGGTAACCCGAAACACTTTAACTCCACCACTTAAATAGCCTTTTAATGCCAAACGCCATCTACCCTGGATGATGTCTTTAATGAGAACTCACTATTGAACTTAATGAATGTACAGAGCTAGTTGACTGGAATCAAGATTTATATTGTTTAAGTTTTGCATGACGGAAAAAGTGGACTAGTATCTCTTGTGCATTGGTGAGAATTTTCTAGACTAAGTTGTGGATTGATGCACTATCTTTGGTCCTAGTTTAGGAGTTCATGTCTATGAGATTTGTGCATTTCCTATTTTTGTTTTCACTTAACCAGTTTAGACTTTTGCTTTGTTTGAGGACAAACAAAGGTTTAAGTCTGGGGGAGTTGATAACACCGTATTTTGACCACTTTTATGGATCGTTTTGAAATACTTTTTCTATGTTTTAATTGCTTTTAAGTACTTTTATCACGTTTTTCTAGTATTTGTAGTTCCAAGACTCTTTTCAGGTAACTTAGGGAAAAGCTTAACAAAATGGATAGAAAACCAGATTTCAGTTCAGAGTCAAACCGTCAGAAGTTCACCCCTGATTGAATGCCTTCTCACCGTCTGATCCTGCTCAAATTTGGAGACCTTAAAGATGGAAGTATCAGCTTTCCAGCACACTTTACAGCTTGGCAATCCAACGGTTCAATCAAAAGATACGCGAAGAGCAAGATGTCCCGTAAACCAGCCGGCAAGCAATTCCACCCGCGGCCAACAGGCCATTTCCCGCGGCCAGAGACATCCCGACCGCAGCCAGCAGTCCATTCCCCGCGGTCACAGCCATCCCGACCGCGGCCTGCCATCTCCAAGCCCGAAGGCCCATTTCTGAAGCCCACAATGATTCCCTCATTTGGAGAAACCCTAAGTGACGTCCAGAGATGTCTTGAGCACTATAAATACATGTCTTAGGAACCCTATTTCGAAGACATGCTATTTTTCTTATTGTTTTAGAATACTTTTAAGTTTTAGGTTTTAGGGAGAGAGAGATCTGTCTCTTCAACCCTTGTTCTTTCTTTTTCAATTTCGGTTTCTATTCTACTTATTAATACTATGTTTTTGATTTCGTTCATCATGTCTGAGTAGTTTTATTGTTGGGATTAAGGGATTTTCGATGGGGATTTATATGTTCGATGAGGATTCCATGAGCTTTTGAGCCGAATCTTAGAACTTTTTCTTCTGAATTCGTTGTTACTGCATGAGAGTAGCGTCATGAACTACAATCTGATCCAGATGCTTGGTGACACGAAAGTGTTCATCCGGTATCAGATCTAGTTTGGGAGAGCAAAACAAACATAGGAGTGGAAACCTACCTATGGGCGATTTGTGAATGAGGACGAGTCTTAAACATAATGCATCTCTTCTCTTCCAGGGCCAGAGTGGAAACCTACTGGTCAGGGTTGAGAGAGATGGTTGTCTATGATCACGACAGTGGCGTATTCATACGTCTGTGACTCCAGCTCGAAAAGTTTAAGCTAAGATCTTATCAAATTTACTCTCTAGCAATGTTTTGAATCGTTCGTACCCCTGAGAAAACTTCCCTGAACCCCAACGCCTTCTTTTCTATTGATTTACACCGTTTTTATTTCAAGCTTTAGTTCAATATTGTCTTTCCTTTTTAGTAGATTTTCATTTAAGCAATTAGAATATCCGTTTTTCCCATTTTTATTCATTTTCGTTAAGTTTAGTTATTAGGTCATTTAATTCCCGTATTTTCTTTTAAGATTTCGTTTTTACATTTTAAACACACTACCAAACCCCCACAAAACCGTTTTGATTCTAGACTTCCTTACTTTATACTTATTTCAAAGGCTTTTTGCAGGAAAAGATCCTCCTTCCCTGTGGATTCGATCCCTAAGTACTACAATTGATCAGCTGTGCACTTGCCGCTATTGATTTCATTTAGGGTAAAACTTGACAACCCTCGACACACCGACAACCACACATCAAATGTCTAAAAGGAAAGGCAAAGAACAAAAGATATCCAGCGGGTTCAATAGTTCAATCATATAAACGATGAAATCTCTTATTTCTCAGAACACTACTTTGCTTCACACATTTCTACAGCTAAGAGAAGGTAAAACTTTGTTAATAATCAATTAAGTTTTAATTGTAATTTTGGTTTCGAACTATATATATGAGCTAAATTTACAATTTGTTAGATCAACCCGGTATGATGAAGGTGAAGTACATGTGTATCCTATACTGGTCCCGGAAATATTTACTCAAGTAGGTCGTCCAACTGGTCAAAATAGTGAATTTTGGTTAACAGAGAAAGATTATACCCAATTGTGAATATTTTCAACCCCTTGAGAGGTACTTTATATACGTACAATTCATTATTTGAATTATTCACTAATTCTTACAATTAATTTAGTTTAATTTTTTTCGTTGGCAAAACATACAGATTGTTGGAAGCGCAAATACGAATTGAATATCCAAAACTCTCTGATGATGAGGTGATGTCGAAAAGAGATGCAGATTTTTCTAGCTGGATTTGCCAATATGTATGTATTAAAAAATCCACCTATTGGTTATTAAATATTATTTTCTTGCAAGAATAATCTAATATATTTGCTATTATTTAGGTAAGTGCCATGAAAAGTCAGGAAAATTTTCCTCCTTGGGTTCATGAAATAATAGAAGGTCCTGAAAATAAAGTCAAATCGTGGCCCATGTATTTTACAAGAGGGTATTTGTTTCACACGCGTGAAGACGGACTCACGAAAAAAACAATGAATTACGGGGTATGTGTGCGAGGACAAAATTATTCTGAAGCAACTAAAGAGGATGATTATTACACGAACGTAGAAAATATCATAGAGCTTAAGAAAGATACTTCAGAACATTTGCGGTAATATTTGATATAGGTTTTAGTGTTTTATAAATACATAGTAATGCATTAGTATCTTGAATACTTGACAATATTCTATTTTGCAGGGGAAGTACAATTGGGATCTGGGGATTACCGATATAGTGAGACATGAATTCTGCAAGAGGGCCACACTTAGGATGAAAGGAATTGTCAGCCAGGCTAAGACAAGTGGTAAGAGACCGCATTGGATTAGCCCAAAACTTTGGAAAAATTTGTAGAGACATTGGAACACTCCCGAAGCAAAGGACAGGAGCTCTAATGCTTCAACTCTGACCGTGGCGGTCTTGGAGCCCACAAACATATATCCGGACAAAAATCATATATGCATGTTCAACAAGAAATGGTAAGCTCGGTGATAATTGATTTTAAATATTGCTCTTAACATAATTTATCTGATTTTGTATCATTCTTTTGTTGTAAACGATTTTGTATCATTGTAGGAAGAAGAATTGGGGCGTCCTGTATCTTTTGGAGAAGTGTTTGTGAGAACACACACCAAGGCCGATGGAACTTTTGTTGATCAAAGGGCCAGAAGAGTAGCTGAAACTTATGAGAAGAACATAGAAGAGAAGATGTCTCAAATAGATGTCGATGGTCCTCAAACTTCAGAGAATTCTTCTCAGCAGACCCTCACCATTAAAGAAAAGAATGAGATATTTCTTAAGGTTTGTCTTTCTCTTCTTAGCATATATTGGTATTTGTTTTGCTTGATGTTGATTATCTGGCTTTGAGATAGTAAAATTGAACCATGTCTCGTCATTAGCTCAGATTTTTTGTTTGCATTGTTAGCTTGGTTTGATGTTTAGCAAAATGTGTGTTTGAGTTTGCGATTGATCTCAGTTAGAGCTTACTGGTCTGATTTGTTTTGCTTCTTTATGTCGTTGTAATCTATTTTTTTTAAAGCAAAATACTTGTTGAAAAAATCTTACTGATCTAACTGAGTTCTTATTTATAGTGATTTCTTACTGTCTTTGTGTTTGCTTAGGGGATTGATCTTACTGAGTTCTTTCTGATTTTTCTATGGTTTGAGGTTAAAATACTTGTTGTTTTAGTCCACTGAAACAGATGACAACGGAAACCCTTTTGGGCTTGGGAAACTGAAAGAGACTATCAACAAAGGGAAAATAAAAGAAAGTTATGGAAACTCTCAATCCTCATCAATTTCCGAGATAGATCAACAGCTACAAGCTGCTCGTCAAAACATTGAGGAACAAGAAGCCGAAAATGCAAGACGTGATGCGGAGAACCGAGTTTCTCAATCTAAGATCGCAAGCTTGGAGTTTCTCTTATCCTACTTCAAAACAAATGATCCAGCATTTGCAGCATATGTGGCTTCTCAATCAGATCGAGCCGCACCAACCACAACACCAGGTACCACTCTAAGAGCCGCACCACCAACCACAGCAGGAACCACTCCAGGAAATGCACCACCAACCACAGCAGGAACCACAGAAAGAACCTCACCAACCAATTCTCCCTTGTCAAACACTTCATCAACCTCTCCATCTTAACTTAGTAATTTCTTTGATATTTTTTATTTTGGTTGTCTAAATATTTATGTTTAGGATATTTTGTAAGATGTTTGACTGATTTTAGTAAATATTTTGGGTAGAAACTATTTAAAATGCAGAAATTGTTTCAATTTTCCGTTTTTGATTCCTAAAAAAAATTACTTATTCAACATAGGTAGTTGCAAATAAGTCCCTATTTGGGACTGAATTGTTTCAATAACGTCGTCGCATTTTGGAAGCTAATGCATGACCATTTTCCGACTGAATTGGTAAATATTAGTCTCTAAGAGGTCGCAAATATTTCCCACTGCTTTGCGACTAATGTGCTACAAAGTACATTTGTTTTTTCACTTCGTCCATCAAAGCTAGAAAAGTCCCAAATTAGTCACTAAAATATAGTCTCTAATAAGTCGCAAATATTACCAACTAACTTGCGACCAAGATGTTACAGAATATATTAGGTTTTTCACTTCGTCCTTTGTAGTCTCAAATTGGTCTAGTCGTTAATCTACGACTACGTTATTTGTCTCATAGTAGTCGCTTATACGCGACGGAAATATGTCATCACAGAGTAGTCGGAAAACAGGGACTAGTTTGCGACTAATATTTTTTGCGACGACAAATTTGCGACTACGTATTGTAGTCGTATAGTAATCGCAAAGCATTGATTTGAGACTAAGATAAAACTATATTGGTAGTCACAAATTCTGTGTTTTCTTGTAGTGTCCTTGAGGTAGAGACTTTTCCCATTGATGAGCTTTGTCTCCTAGAGAAAAAGGGAATAGCCTCAGCTTGAAACTGTCCTCACTCACTACATTCATCTTAGTTAGATCACAAACTCTATCAAAGTTGTCAATGTGATCTAATGGGTCTTCTACTGCCAAGCCATGGAACCTGTTTGATTGCACCATGTTGATCAAGCCAGACTTGATCTCAAAATCTTTTTCAGGTGTTGGAGCTTGAATCCCATGTCTCTGACCCTGAGAATTGGCCTCATCACCAGCTCCCACAACTTGTCTTGGACGTGGAGGTGGTGGCTCTTGCTGATTCTGGTGGTTTCCATTACCACCATGAGCCTGTTGCCCTTGATCCATACCCAACCTCTTAATGTGCTCAGCTCTTTCCCTGTGTCTCCTTGCTTGGCTTCTTGTGTTCATACACCTGAAAACAAAGACAGCACTTGAAAGGTAATTAGTAAAAAAAAAAAAGACTGATCTCAAGAAGATCCAAAGTCGTAATGCTATATAAAACTCTCCAATTGGCAACGGCGCCAAATTGATAGTAGGTTTTTAGCCTACTAAGGTCAATTAACCTCTTGTGTTGTAGGACTTGAGGGTCAATCATAATGGAGGTTATCTAGGCACTAAGACTATGAGGATCAATTCTTAATCCAAGTCTAAAGAAACAGGTTGGTGATTAAGTGATTTAAAATCATAAAACAAACAAGAAACAAGCAATACTTAAGAACTAAACAAACGAGACAACAAAGAAAAGACTCAAATTCAAATAAAGATAAATCTAAACCTCTAGATGTGATCATTGATCAGGGTGCTTTCAATGCTTAATTCATGATGCTAACAAAACAATGCAACACTTATAATTCTTAAGTCTAGACTTCCAAAGCAGATTAATTCATTCCCATGGCAGAAATCTCTTTGAAAATCACTTAATCAAGACTAATTCCCATTAGTGAACAAGCAATTAACAAGCATAAGGTTCCAACTCTAACATGACCAAACAGCCTCTTTGTGCATCAAAATAAGAGCTAAAAACACTGAATCTTATACAGAAAGATAAAGCAAGCATCACATGATCTCAAATTCTAGTCAACTTAGAACTCAAAGCAAGATCATTTTTTTCCCAAGACAATGATCACTATACTAATAAGCATTCAAACCTAACTCTCATTAGTGGTAATGATGATCAATATGCATTAATAAACAGTTCTAATATGTCATTTATGCTTCAAACAAACATTCCCATGGCATTTAAAACATAATCCCTTAAGTTAGCTCATTCAGGCATTACATCAAACACCTTGTACTGGGTGGAGAAATGCCTAAGTTCTAGATCAAGCTTATAATGAGAGATCTAGCATTAGGATCAGCTAAAGCACCCTAATCTACACACCTAGAAGCTTAAAAGAAGACTACTCACTAATTATGATTAACACACCTAATCTTTTGCAAGAAGTGATGTTAATCATGATTAGATGCAAAGATAAGAAGATGAGATGATAAGAAACAGCTTTAAGATGATTAAATCCCTTAGATATCTCTTGATCAAACTTGTTTTTACACTGAAAAGGAAGTAAAACTAAGAGAGAATAAAAGGTTATTTAGGGTTTTCCCAAAAAAAACTATATATAGCAAGGGTTTTCGGCCGGGTCAGCCCAGACAAACTGGGTACTGACCCGGCTCAGTTGGGTATTTTGGATGATGTGCGAGATGGTCACTTCCCTTCCTAAGTCGTACGCCCAAGTCGGTCGCATCTGCAAACACATGTGCTAGCATTACAAGAAATATGAATATTGATAGCACTCTCGGATAGCACGATTTACCAAACTGCTATGGAAGATGAGTTCGTAAGTTCTAATACTTATAATAGTACTTAACCAGCGCTAACATACAATTATAATAAGTGGGAATCTAAAATCATGAAATTCGCCAACACTTAGACTAAAAAACCCTTAAGCGCCAACACTTAGTCATTTCCCCCCTTTATCGAAATTTTCTCTTTGACTTAACACACTCTCAAATTGACTCTCAGAATCGACTCTCACACTCTCAAATTTTGACTCACCGACCCAGTAACCTCACCAGCCGCTGCCTCCATTGAAGATAGCCGCAGCCTGTTATCCTTTGCCAACACCAATTTCGTTCGTCTCTGTCAAAACACATGTCTTTCTTATGCTAATTCATTTCTTCTTCGCACTCGTTTCTTATTTTCGAACTTAATTAGTTTGCTTTTGACCAATTTCTGTCTGAATGCTGTTTCAGGAAGTCTCGATTGAGATAGGGTTTGTTAGAATCGATAAATCTGGTTTTGATTTAAAGTTGTTGTTCTTTTTCTTTGCATGCCTCTGTTCTTCGTGTTGGGCGAACAATTCTTTCATATTAGGGTTAGTAGCATCTAATTTAGGTGTAGCTGGAGATAATCTATGAACAATTTTGATAAAGCTGCAGAATTCAACACATTCTTTCAGTTGCAATTTTGATAAAACTGTGATTTTGACACATTCTTTTAGTATATCTTAGTAGCACTGTTTAAAGTCATTCAGTCGCAATTGATCTCTTAAACTTGCAAAAGCTGAAGAATTCTACACATTTCTCTTGAATTCCGTTTCTACAAAGCTCAATATCTATTCTACAGTTTTGTTTCTATGTGACTGCAATTTCAGGAAGTTTCTTTGTTAGATAGATGTTTCTTTGGATGTTTCTATACGTTTCTGTTAACTCTCTCATATCTGCTATGCTTGGTGCATGTTAAATGATTATGTCTAAACTTATAATAATCATGTTATCTGTTTTGCAAGTGCTTGTACGAATGCAATATTTCTGGAATTAAAGCTTTCCCTTTGCTATAATCACAGGACCACAGGTATGTTTCGTGTATACCAATTTGTAGTATTGAATGATTTAATTTTCTGGTTGTTCTTTTTTTTTTGTCTTTATGGTTTTATTATGATTGTTGGAACAAGTTCATTTTTCTGCTTTAGTTTGCGAACTTCAGATATTGGCTGAAAATGAGGTTGACTTCAGATATTGTTATGCAATTGAGTTATTTTTCAGCTATTCACTTTTTAGTTAATTGTTAATTATGACATTGATTTATTGGTTAAATGGTTTGAGATTTATTTGCATTCGGCTATTGTTGTATTTGTCAATTGATATGAGACTCATTTTTTATTTGTTGTTGTACCACACTGAACTGCTTTAATTAACGTAGTACATGAAATGGTGGAGAAGGCTTGGGTTCAACTTAGGATGTATTAATCTGAATCAATATAAGTTTGGATACCGTGAGAGTTTGTAGATTTTAAGTTGTTCTTTCTGCCGTGAAGAGCTGATCCTTCTTACAAAAGAGGGGCTTCGTATTTTGTACGGTCTGTGGCTGATGCATTAGGTGGATGTGATCTGATAATATGTCCTTGCATTGATTGTCGGAATATAGTTCGTTAATCAGCTAGTATTGTAGTTGATCATGTTTCACAGCAAATTGAAGAGTCTAAACATTTGGAAGAAACACAACATTTAGAGGAAACACAGCCTGGAAGAACATCTGAAGATGCTGAACAGCCTGAAGATGAGATTGAATTGTCTGAAGATGCTGAAAACGCAAATGCACCTAAGCGGAAGAGACATAGAGGCCCAACATTGATGAAAAACATAGCAAAGGATCCAAATATCAGAGAGCGAGTTGATTTCATAGCCTTAGGCGAACCTTGCGGTCCTGGTTCGGTTAAGCTGTCATCCTACTTAGGTCCATTGGTACGAGAACATGTGCCTGTGACAGTTGAGGGTTGGTTGAAAACTAGCAAAGAAGTCAAAACTGTGATGTGGAGATCTATCCAGGTGACTAATTCTATGCATTTACGTATTTCATTATGACTAAGATTAGTATCAATATTTAATTTGTAAGTTTATTATTTGTTTGATGAATGTAGGCAAGGTTCGAACTTGATCATGAGTATCAAAAGAAAGCTATTTTCAAGCAGATGGGTTGTCTATGGAAGTCATCCAAGTCAAGCTAAGTAAATAAGATTAACAAAGCCTCAACTAACCAACAAAGGATGAATCTGCGACCCGGCAATGTTTCTCCAACTGGATTTTCATACAAAAGATGATGTGGTTGTTGCTGAAGGTCGTTGGCATACAACTGAAGAAGAAGCATTGGTGAATGGAGTTCCACTAGGACCAAATGCATTTAAATTATTTGTGGATGAAATAATTCAACCTAGATCATTTATATGGCGGCCTATGAAGGGTATCGCATACCTAGAGGACTGCTTTAAGTTGTATGTGTCATGGCCTGCCGCAAAAGTTGTCTTAGAAGGCACCACAGATGCAAGAGGTCATAAATCTCCAGTTGATATTGCTCAAGGAACATGTGGAAAAGGTGCTGCAAAAGGTTCTACATCTCCTACTGAGAAGTCTCTAGCCTCAAAAGATCCAAAAGATGCAGTAAAAGGTTCTACATCGCCTTCTAGGAAGTGTCTACCCTCAAAAGGTCAAAAAGCTGCAACAAATGGTTCTACATCTTCTACTGAGAAGTCTCGAGCATCCAAAGGTCTAAAGGCTTCAGGAAAAGGTTCTATATCTCGTGTTGAGAAGTCTCCAGCGCAAAAGGTACTCAGGGGTCCCCTCTTCGAAGATCCCATGTAATTATGAATGAAGTTGCTTCTGGTAATTATGAATGAAGTTGCTTCTGGTACTTGTTAGTGTTAAGGTAATGAACAGTTTATAATGTTGACATGGCAACGTAAGGAAAATTCCAATACAGTGTTCAAGGAAAATCAGATGTGCAAGTTGGTGGAACTTGCAAATGGAAAGCGGATTGTCGCTCAAGCACTCTGGATTTCAAATGACCCAGACCAAAATATACACTGTGTTCGCTTGGGGTATAATGGAGTTAAAGTTCTGGTTAAGACAGTAGACATATCTGATGCAGCAGTTTGGAAGCCATCTTCTGCAATCGAGTGTATGGACAATGAACTTGGGACATATATTGCATGGCCAGAGGATAAAGTTGTCATGGTTTGAGTTCAACAAACTAAGGTTAGTGTTGTGATAAGTGCATGCTACTTTGTTTTAAAATTTGCTCTTGTCTAGGAAACTGATGTATACATGGGTGATTGTTGCAGGGAATGAAGAAAACTTGGTCCAGATTAGCTAGTTTTACTTAATTTAAAACTGAGCTAACTTTGCCTTTATGGCTTCTTTAGTGTAGTATTCAGACCTGTCTTTTGGATTGATAGTTAGTCTACTTATGTGACTTGGATTGAGATTTAGACTTCTGTTATGTGTGTTGTATTAGAAGGATTGAAACTTAAGTTCTGTCCTGAAAGCACACATCATAACAAAATGAAAGTGCCATTACTAATCAGGATACCACATATCATTACAAAACGGAAATGCTATTACTTACTAGGAAAGCACATATCATAAGAAGACGAAAGTGCTATAACTTATCAAGAAAGCACGTATTATAGCAAAAATTTAAATGATATTGCCCTTTTACATAGCACGATAATTTTTGTTCTAAATAATGTATTACATGAATTTATCATGTTATAATAAACTTATTTATGACAAAAAATTAAATGCTATTACCCTTTTTCATAGCACGAAAATTTTGTGACTAAATGATGTGTGACAGGAATTTACAATGCTATAATAAAATTTTTTATGGCTAGAATTATGAGTTGTTAAAAAAGAATATAGATGATTCGAAAATAGCATCTGGATATTGTCATTGTATACAAAGCTACTATAAGAAACAAAACGTGCTATTGTATAGGTGGTACCTACCATAGCTGCTGATATCACGGTGATAACACCGTATTTTGACCACTTTTATGGATTGTTTTGAAATACTTTTTCTATGTTTTTAATTGCTTTTAAGTAATTTTATTATTTTTTTCTAGTATTTGTAGTTCCAAAACTCTTTTCAGGTAACTTATGGAAAAGCTTAACAAAATGGATAGAAAACCAGATTTCAGCTCAGAGTCAAACCGTCAGCAGTTCACCCATGATTGAAGGCCTTCTCACCGTCTGATCCAGCTCAAATTTGGAGACCTTAAAGATGGAAGTATCAGCTTTCCAGTGCACTTTACAGCTTGGCAATCCAACGGTTCAATCAAAAGATACGCGAAGAGCAAGATGTCCCGTAAACCAGCCGGCAAGCACTTCCACCCGCGGCCAACAAGCAATTTCCCGCGGTCAGGAGCATCCCGATCGCGGCAAATCACTCATCCACCGCGGTCACACTTGTCCCGACCGCGGCCATCAACCTCCGAGCCCAAAAAGTCCATTTCTGAAGCCCACATTTGGAGAAACCCTAAGTGACGTCCAGATAGGTCTTGAGTACTATAAATACATGTATTAGGAACCCTAATAGATATCAATCATCACCACCGAAATATTTACTTCATATTCTTATTGTTTTTGCTTTAGCTTTTAGGGAGAGAGAGATTTGTTCTCTTGAACCCTTGTTCTTTCTTTTTCAATTTCGGTTTCTATTCTACTTCTTAATATTATGTCTTTGATTTCGTTCATTATGTCTGAGTAGTTTAATTGTTGGGATTAAGGGATTTTCGATGGGGATTTATATGTTCGATGAGGATTCCATGAGCTTTTGAGCCGAATCTTAGAACTTTTTCTTCTGAATTCGTTTTGACTGCATGAGAGTAGCGTCATGAATTACAATCTGATCCAGATGCTTGGTGACACGAACGTGTTCATCAGGTATCAGATCTAGTTTGGAGAGCAAAATAAACATAGGAGTGGAAACCTACCTATGGGCGATTTGTGAATTAGGACGAGTCTTAAACATAATGCATCTCTTCTCTTCCAGGGCCAGAGTGGAAACCTACTGGTCAGGGTTGAGAGAGATAGTTGTCTACGATCACGACAGTGGCGTATTCATACGTCCGTGACTCCAGTTCGAAAAGTTTAAGCTAAGATCTTATCAATTTTACTTTCTAGCAATGTTTTGAATCGTTCGTACCCCTGAGAAAACTTCCCTGAAGCCCAACGTTTTCTTCCTTATTGATTTACACCGATTTTCTTTAAAGCTTTAGTTCAATATTGTCTTTCCTTTTTAGTTCATTTTCATTTAAGCATTAGAATTTCCGTTTTTATCATTTTTAGTTATTTTCGTTAAGTTTAGATATTACGTCATTTAATTCCCGTATTCTCTTTTAATATTTCGTTTTTAGATTTTAAACACACTACCAAACCCCCACTAAACCGTTTTTGTTCTAGACTTCCTTACTTTAACTTATTTCAAAGGCTTTTTGCAGCAAAAGATCCTCCTTCCCTGTGGATTCGATCCCTAAGTACTACAATCGATCAGCTGTGCACTTGCGGCTATTGATTTCAATTAGGGTAAAACTTGACACATCCTCTCAACACACGACAGCACACATCAAGTTTTTGGCGCCGTTGCCGGGGAGGGCACGCATTTTCTTTTCTGCAAAACCCTGAGAAAGGTTAGTAAATCGACTCTAGAACCCCCTTTTCTGCAACTTTCCATTTTTCGGTTATTTTGTTTCCATTTCAGAAGATATGGATCCTATAAATCGAAATATACACTATGAAGAAGGTTTCTATAACACTCCTCAAGCCATAAGACGCAGAGAAGAACCCCAAGTCCGAAATTTTAGCCACATGGATCGATACAGCCAGCAAAACCACCCTTACCACCAGCGCAGAGAGACTGTTCGACGCCGGGAAGATCCTTATGGTCCTCCTCCGACCTACTTCGAGCCACACGCCTATAATCCTACACTTCAGAACCCTAGTCAGCAAGAGGACAACTTGAGGATCAGCAGACGTTTGGGACGCCTCGAAAGAATGATAAACCAGTTCCTTGATCAGCAGATTCTCACCGAGAACACCCTGCTCAAGAAAATTGATTCAATCTCTGAAGAGTTCAACAAAAAACTCGATGATATGGCCAATCATGTTCGAGTTTTGGAAGAGCAAAACCACAAGGACTCACAAACACTAGCTGGGATGATCCACCAAGTCGCAACAGAGCAGACAAGACAAGGGTATGACATCATACAAAACTCAAGTGATATTGCTGAATCAAAACAGGAGATTAAAGAAGTCAAAGAGTCCACCTCCTGGTATAGAGAGAAGACAGACGAAGAGTTGCAAGATATTGAGCACAGGCTGAACAAACTCGAGCTCAAAGCACGGGAGATTGATGCAAGAATGGAGCAGATGCCCAACATTGAGCAGATTGAGAGATTTTCTAAGAAATCTCCCAAAGATCCTGATGAAGATGCACAACAACGCCCTGGTATGAGTTCATATGATGCTAGTCTACCCAATAAAGAAGCTGGAGAGGTCCGTATCAAGTACAAGAAGGAAGAGACGGACTATGAGCAGATTTCATCCGGAGCCGCGGGTCCAAGCTTTCCGACCGCGGCCAAAGCCCTGTTTCCCACGGTCGCGACTCCTCTGACCGCGGGAGTTGGTCGTTCAGATGTTCCTCCGGGTTTTGAGAGGAAAATAATACACCTTCTGTCCCAACTTCAGCCTCCAGCACCTAAAAAAGCAACTCAGGAAGAAGAAAACCAAGTTTCAGATGAAGAACCAGATTGGCATGAATCATTACCTTGTATGATGGCAAAGGAATGTGTTGAAGATTTAGCTGACTCTTCAATCCAAGAAGACCAGACGTGCAGCGAGATAAAGATGCCATACATTGATTCAATCATTGAATATGACGCTGCAGCTTTCTTTTGTGAATCTTATTCTGCGTTTGAGACACCAGCCAACACCTACAGAGAAAGGCAAGTTCGAATTCTCCATAAGGTCAAGACTGCAGGTCAGTTTCTTATCTCTTGTTCTATTAGAGGAGAGATGTTTAAAAACGTGCTATGTGATTCTGGAGCTTGTCTTAACATGATGTCCAAGGCAATTGCTTTGAGACTTGGTATTAGACACCTGCGCAGGACTAGAGCAAAGATCAGCCTAGCTGATGATTCTAATGCAACACCTCAAGGAATAGCTCATGAAATTCCTTTGAGAATAGGAGATTGCATAGTGCCTGTCGACTTCTACATTGTCGAGACGAGAGATGCAACATATCCAGTGATTCTGGGATGGTCTTTTCTAGCAACTTCCGGAGCTATAATGGACTGGCCAAACCGGAGGATTTCATTTGCTAGTATCGACAAAAATGTCTTCACAGAAGCTGTTCCATACAACAGCAAAGCAGGAAAACATTCTGCAGCAGAAGAGTTTGAAGAAGAGCTTTGGAGTGACGGAGAACCTGCTAGGCAAAGCAAGGAGATGTCGAAAAAGACTTGTCTCTGGACAAGGTCTTCTTCATTGGAATAAGTCACGTCCAACACCAAAAGTCGAGCTAAACGACTTAAAATAGAAGCGCTTAATGGGAGGCAACCCATTTAGGTATTGTTTTCTTTAGGACTTTTCTTTCTTTTTCTTTTGATCTTTTTCTTTTTCTTAGTTTCAGGTGTTTCTTATAAAACCAAAAAAAAAGCCAAAAAAAAAATCAAAAAACCAGAAAAAAACCAAAAAGAAGGATAGTACCTGACTGCTCGGCCCAGCAGGAACCGAGGAGAAGCAGGAAGAGGCCGCGATATAAGCCCCCGCGGTCGCAGATGCTCTGACCGCGGGAAACTACTCATCGACCGCGGTCGCGTAGTCCTGACCGCGGCCAAGCAATAGTTCGCCGGGGTCGTGCAGCCCCTGACCGCAGCACTTGGTCGTTGACAGCAAACCCGACCCCAAACCACCCCTTTCACCCCATTCCACCTCACCAATCACCCTCCACCTCATTCATCACCTTCCACCACCTTCATCACCACCTAATCACCTTCCCAAACCCCTTCGAATGAATCCGGTTCATCTCCACCAGCATCCCGGATCCAGGTAAGTTCTCTTTGTCCTTACCAGTTCGATTATCTATGCATTTTTCTCATCCAATCTCGACTTGTTTCACACTGAGGACAGTGTGATTTAAGTCTGGGGGAGGATTTCATCCTTTTCTAACCACCTTTCTTTCATGAGTCTTGCATTATCTACACTTTTTGCATTTTTCTTAAAGTTTTTCAAAATCGGTTTTCAAAACAAAAATACGTTTTAAAGGGAATGGTGAACATGAATCAATGATAGTTGACTGTGTGCTTTAGACTGTTCCTAGTGACTTGCTCATTCATGATTTAGGACTAGACTAGGCGGTAGCTAAGCACATTTAAAACGAAGTACCCCAGAGGAATTTGAATGATTTCGATTTAGACTTGAGG